GTTGTTGATCGCTGGCATCAACATATTCAGAATCTGAATTGACAGGGCTATTATTTCCTTCTTTGACAACATTTTTTATTTTTGTAGGTGAATGTTTTGAATCGAGATGTTCTTCTAGTTGTTTAACATCAATATCATATTGAGAAATAGGATGCGTGGAGCTAAACGAAGTAGGATCTTCATTTGAAACGGCTGGACTATTATTTCCTTTTGGTACTTCTTCGTTATCATTTTTTGCATTTGGATGAAGTGAAGTGGTATGATCTTCTAGCTGTCTAGTATCAAGAGGACTAGTATCATATTGTGAAATAGTATGAGTGGAACTGCGAGCTGAACTATGAGCAGAAAGACCTTTATTGTCAATATAGTCTGAGTTATAATCGTCACTTGCATTTTGTAAATTGAAAGTCTTAGAATCATCGACTAGCTCTTTATTTGTAGAAGGTAAACTACTAAAATCTAGAAGACTATTTGTATCTGAAAATTGGCTACATGTATAAATATTCTGACCTGTAGATTTTAAATGGGCCATAGTCACAATTGGGATTAAATTATCATTGGCGCTTTTAATTTCTTGATGTCCGGGAAGAATGATGCACCATTCAAGTAAATATTCGAATTCTTGTTCAAGATTATTATTAGAATATTTAGATTCAGTAACTGTAATATTAATTTCATTTCTGTCTTTGTAAAAGCTCCGAATGTTAGCTACGAATGTTGGTACACAATTTGGTTGTTGGAGGCACTTAAATGACGTTACGAGAATCGAATCTGTTGGCAAATCGCCTTTAATCTCTAATCGACCATTCCAATTGCCTTTTTTTGGTTTAAATGAAGTATGCCCTAGATCTAATAAAGAGATACTTCGTGTACTTTTACTATAAAATCCTACTTTAGATGGCTTCCCAATTAGTATCCAAGTTATTTGTAAACATGAAAATATGCTTTCTCTAAATGAAAAGAACCATTTTAGTGATTATAAATAAAAAACATAATCACTAAACAGAAATTTACCTGATATCATTAAAGTTTTCGATTTTTACAGAGAACCCGTGCATGTTCATGTTTTCAAATTTGATAATAGCTTGATCAATTGGCTTAATTGATCTCTCATTTTGTGCCACAAGGTTTCCAAAAATTTGATAATCGTTAGACTCCAAAAGATAAGGAAAGCTTACACGATAGCAGCAAACGGAATCATTAACTGATATCACTCCTGCCATAAGAACCTTTTCTTTAATTCCGGATATTTTTGATCGGTCATCAATTCCGAGAATATTTTCTATTTCTTTTTGTAAAGTATTATCGAATATTTTATATAACGGATACAATTCGTTCCAGTCGACAACTTCTAACGAGTCAATATCAACATCGTTTGTCGACCAAGAAGAAATAAAATTATTTAGATTACTTTTTGTAACTATTTTTCCATTTGTTGATAACAAATAACTTGCGTCAAAATTATGTGATTTCATACAACTTTCCCAATGGTTTAAAATGCCTTTGCTTTTTAAAAGAAATTCATCAAATACCATATATTCCGTCTGATCACTTCTTTGTTCCGTTGAATTTTTTTCAGTTGAGTGAGATATTCTATATAACTTATTCCCAAGGATGATTTTTCTAGGCAAGAAATATCCATAAAATTTAAATATTTCAATTAATTCTTGATGTGGATTATGATGTTCCAATGCCTTTTTCATATCATCCGTCAATCTTTCTGATGGTCTGGCTGTCTCTATTTTAAAGTCTAATATGACTCTGGAATTTTGAACTTCAATGTAAACATCATCCACGGGGGATTCATTAATTGAAGAATTTTTTAACAAATTAAACCCATTCTCGATGCTAGATACCAGAGCAATCTGCTCTAAATTAGTGATATTTGGATCAACATGATTTTTTAACAAGAAAGTATTTTTTCGTTTTGTGGAAAATATTAGTTTTACTCGTAATTTATCGGTTTTCAAAAGATTAATTTTAGGTTGTATTTCAAAACTGCATGCCGGGAGTTTTGCAACATGTATTCCATGTGAACCCAGAATCAGACCAGTTGTCCATTTAGAAGTTATAAAATATCGAGCTTCAGTCATCTTCAATCATAATAGCTGTAAAGAACTTTAATTGTTCGGTAACTGATACGTATAGCATTTATAAAATTTTCCATACATATTTAGCCAGATTTAGAATAAATTGGTCAACGGAAAGAATTCTCCGGAGGACACATGAACGCTAGAGTACCCTAGCCTTCAGCAGGGACAGGCTATCCTGAGTCAACAATTACCATAAAGAGGCGTCATGTGATAAATAAACGTAGATCAATTTTTAAATAGTATTTATATAGGGGTGTGATTATTAATATATGTGATTCCCGTGTGACACTAGATTAAAGACCCGATCAAAGTAGTTTTGTAAGTAATAATGAATTATTACTTATCTCTTACTTAATATTAAGTAGTGTTAAGTATTTATTACATTATATTTTATTACTTATTACATTTAAATTTTTTTTAAATTCAATTATAATAGGTGATCAAGATTAAGAGTGTTCTCAAGCGCCTAAATCAATTGAACTGGAATAAAATTTCAAATAGTCGGGCCAAAAAAATTGATCAAGTGAATTGCTGCTTCACTG